CCCCCCCCTCAATGAGGCGTATTGCGGCCGTAAAACGCACGGTAAAACGCACGCTTTGGCATGACCACATCAAAACACCATGTTGCTCCTTTTTTTCGCAAGTCGACGACCTGCTAACCGCTTTGCGACTGGTTGCACAGAAGCATAGCAGTTGGAGGAATTCTTTGCTGAAGAAAATTGATAGTTACCAAGGGAAAATTTACACGTTGCATTTAGTTTGAAGCTGACATTCCAACGTGCTATTCGAACGTTCGATTTCATTGTGCCACTGCCGCTTCGCCTCCCCCCAATGAGCATGCACTTGATGAAGGGATTGACAAAATGAATATGTCATTTAAAAACACAGTCGAAACGTCGGTGACAATCATCCCAAATGTCAACTCCTGAGGACATGTTTAAGCGGACCTCCGGACAAACGTGGCGTTCCAGTCATTTAAGTCGTTACAAAGAAAGAAATAATTTTATTTTCATGAGTTGAAAGAGGTTAATTTTGATCATATGATTCACAAAGTCACGCGCTCTAGAAAATCAGTGATTTACGGGTGTTTACGGCTATCGATATTAGTTGATACTGCAACCTAAAAGATCTATGGGTAGAAAACAGCTGTTTTGCGAGTTTCGACAAAAGCAACGCATAATATGAGTTCTAGTGTTCACATGTTGTTGAAATTAGCACGATTCGGCACTGAATTGGGAATGCTCATGTACTGTGTTTGGTTTCTGAATCTCCGGGTCACAGTTTCGAAAACGGGCTTTGAGAGCAACGTTCCCGACAGAGGCGGGGGCGGTGAATGATTGATTGGTCTTCTGGCATTGGCTACACCACGGTTCCTTCCGTCGTCGTTAGTTGAGCTAGCAAATCAGTAAAGGTGGTCGTTATTGCGTACGGTGCGTCCATCATCGACGGCATCGAGTTGGATCGAGAGAGGCTGTCCGAATTACGCTCTTCTCTGCGAACGTCGTTCATTGGTTGGACATACGATTCGACGTGTTCTTCGATGACCAAAGGTTGACATTCCAAGTCTTTGCTTCTCGTCGATTCCTTTGACGGCTGAGTCGTTAGCGTTGGATGCTGCTTGTTATTATTTTCGTTCTTATCTTCATCTTAAGTTCGCATATGAAAAAAATGCATTAAAGCGATAAAGCAATACAGAATATAAGTCCAGCAAACAATGCTTTAAGAATATTTTGTTCCCAGATCGGGCGAACATATTCTTCATACATGGTAAAGGAATCCGTAGGTGAAACTACATCAGCAACAGGTTTCGCTTTTACCATAATTATCATAGTACACGGCAAACCACTAGTAGATTAAGTTGAGTTACAGTCAGAAGAGGCGCTCGAGTTAGACAGCATGACTTGATTTCTCACCATTTCTGGTATAGCAATAACACAGTACTGTGCGTGCTGACCCTGAGGTTGGCAAGTTGATGACTTGCTGCCAGTTTCTCGGCTGGCGGCACTACAGCAGCGTCGGAAGACTTCCTTGTTCCAGAAAATTAGCGGATGAGAGCGCTTGCTTCCAGGATTGAAACTGACACCTTTGGAATTCGACGCCGACCTCTTACTGCATGATTATGCAGGTAAACGATGGACAAATGTTCTTCATCGTTATCGTTTTTAAAGTGTTTGTTCCGCAAAGAAATCTCATTTATAGATTAGCCTGAAGTTTGATAATATAGCTGACCCATTTTGAGGGAGCATAGTATCTACATGCTCTATATATACAATTTGAATAACGTCAGTGATTACTGTAGGTTTGGTTTGGTCTTCAAGCTGACATAATCAAGAAAAATTCGGGGTTCTACTCAAAAGTTCAAACTTATGACATTACCTTCTTTGACAACGCTGAAGTTGGTAATCGAGTATTCTGTTGACCGATAGTCACATGATGACTCTGCCGTCGTTACTGTAGGGTTCTGTATTCTAAACGACAAGCGTTAACGCGCTACAGAATCGACGACAACCTCTGTTACCTGATGAGTTGCATCTGCTGTCGAAGAACGTCTAGTTGCGCTCTGCCAAGGCCCGCCATTCGCGCCTGCTGTTTGACTTTGATCGGCTGGTACAAGACCATATAAATCTTTGGCATGAAGAAACAGCACAGAGCCACGGTTCCGCTTATGCTGATGCAAATACATAAACTAATGGTCTGAATCTGTAACATATGCCATTCTTAGGAGAGCATTAATCGGTTAACAGCTATATAGTATCATTTTCACCTTCATGTCTCAATTTAACGAATCCAGTGGGTGAACCTGATGCATAATTGCGATCATGCAAAATCTTTCATAATATCGCCCTTGTAAATGAGGAATAAGTAAGAATATGCGTAGCGCTTATTTCAGTCTATTTCTTCATGCCATCTGTCAAACGCTGTTTATGATTGTCCATTAATCTCTGTTCCTGTGTATTACCTTACAGTAGCAAATTCTCAAGGCGGTGGCATTTTAGTATCTCCTCAGACTATTTTTAATTGATTATTTTTATCCTCACCATCGACATCGGGTCTCATGCTTTCTCTTTCAGCGCATGTTATCTAATATAGTTTGTCCACCTTCTGCACGAAGCTTTGAGAAAGGTAAGGATGAACAAAATCTCTTATGCGTTTGTAACATTTCAGTACTCGAGCAGTGGCTTGCTTCAATTACTCCCCCCCCCCACCTACACATACCATGCAAACAGGACCAATGGGCGCATTACGCCGCGAAACTTGATCCTGAAGGAAATTATCACTGATATGACTGGGTGCTGCAACCAATACAAAAAACTGAATCTACAACTGCGATAAAAGTCGTGCAGGAGCTACATTAACTTTATTGCATTTGTGGATGATATCATATTGTTAGCAGACAAATTAAAGGTTAAACTATCGTTTTTGAAACAGAGGTGCACTAATCTTTATTCCTGTATCAATTTAAAGAAGGCAACGTTTATAAAAAATAAGGAAAAAGGCAGAAGTCAAACGAACAATAACCTTATTATTCTTTACACCAGTGAATTCATTGGAAAGGAGTCAGAAAATATATGCCTTGAAAAGTAAAGGTCGTGCGTTGGTACCAGCAGCCAGAAATAGGATATTCAAGCTCTGGACATGCAATGGTACTGGCACCAGCAAAAATGCGGATCTACAAGGCTGACGTTCTGAACATCTTGTACCTGTGGTTTGGAGATGACAGCACTTCACACACATTGCTGAAGCAGAGTGACAGAAGGGAAAATTTTAAGATCAATAATAGTAATGAAGTGGGACGATCTTGAGACAATCGCTATTGTACGAGAGAGTTTAGAATATCCAAGTAAAGTGATGGATATACTGTAAACAAGCTCTTTACGACTGTGAAGCCATTGCCAGTAAAATAACCGCCTGGAAAGCTTATATTAAAACATGACCTAATGATTTGCAAACTTTATCAAGACATCAGAAAATAGCAAGATCATGTTTAAACTGATATTACATCGAAAGGACTGAAGAGTTGACTGGCGTTTACTCGGTACAGATTTAAGGCCTGTACGGAACCTGGCGTCGTCCTCAATGCAATGAGAAGCGTAGAAGCAAACCATAGGAGCAGACCATCCAATTATAAAAGCAGACACCATGTTTTCCATGACGAAAGCCTGAATGCTGCCTGGCAACCAAATCCGATACAGCTCTCCATGTATTTAAAGCAACTATGTCTGAGAAAAGGGCCAACTGATTGTAAGCCAAACAAAGCAATTCAAAAACAGGGGTTCATGTTGGCTCATGAAACAAACATTATGAAGCGTTGACATCAAACCGTTTATTCTCAGAGCAGATCATTGCTATTCAGTGAAAAAAAATGAGCAGAGTATCCGTGTTATTTTGATCCATGACAGAATAATATCATTGAAAAAACAAAAGAAACAAAGAGAAAATAATATGTCGATAGAATATAATGTAGATGGTCTAGAGTGACTGTCGCAGTCAGGTGATTTCAATTCCGTAGAAAAAGATTTATAGTCGTTTTATGTTCCCAGATTTATGTGGTAGAATCGCACCACCCCTTACTCATGGAAAGTTGCACTGCTCAGTCACATGATGAAATTAACAATTTTGATACTCCCAATATAAATATACTTTAAATTTTGCATCTGTGCCTTCAACGCCTTTAAAAGGGCTGATATTCATTATATATTTCACTATTTCTTCCAAGCCGACGAACTGCCGTTGGTGTTGTGTGTTACTCTAATGTAGTGTTTTCCATCATGCCCCATGTTCACAATGTTCACAGAAAATATAGAAGTTATGCAAGTGATAAATCAACTTTTCTAGAGTACAGTAGGAGATGAGCAAAAATGCTGAATTGGAACTATTTTTGAAACTTATAAATTTGGCCGTCTTCACTCGTCCCTTTTTTCCCAGTTTGGCAATTCATACGCCGTTGACACAACATAGCAGGAAAGATAAAAGTAATAAATTGTCGATTTTGGTTACGTTATTCATAACCCAGAACAGACCCTCACAAATAGTATCTTGTTTAGTATGCTGTAATTGTTCATAGGATTCTCTTACTATTCGATATTTGGCAGTGAACTTTGGAAGATTAAAGGGAACATGAGCAAGGTATCAGAAATTATGTCGCAGTAGCCATGGTAATTCGTATAAACGTTTATGAATACCTGAACGTGCAGCTGGGGTTGGCACAAAAGATGCCTGGCAGTGGCTGGCAACTGAACACTCAATCAGCAGAAACCATTTCAGTGATAACGACAAATCTGTGAATACCAGCAAAACGAAAACCCAGCAGGGCGGTCAGAATTACCTTGTAATTGTCGTTGGTGCCGAAGTAGATGGGGATGAAGGCGAGCCAGATGATGCACGTGGCGTACATTGTGAAACCGATGTGTTTGGTCTCGTTGAAGTTCTCGGGGATCTTTCTTGTTTTGAACGCGTAAATCGTGCACATCACGATCAGCAACATGTTATAGACCATGGATACGGGGAACAGCAGCGGACCACCATTGCAGGACTGTACGGCGGTGAAGCGATTCGGAAACACCAGGCTGGTTTTTGGTGGCTCGACGATCATCCAGACGCAGGCGGTCAACAGCTGGACCGAGATCAACATCATGCAGATCAGCAGTTGCGCTTTCGGACTGATAAAACGCAGGCTTTGCATATCCTGCACGTTGCTGGTAAAGATGCGTGCTACGCGGTTGGTCTTCGTCAGAATTGCTGCATAGGTGATGCACGAAGAAAGGCCGATGCTGATTCGCTGAATGGCGCACGTGACCTGGTTTGGGCGGTGCAACAGCAAAAATGTCATACAGTACGAACAGGTAATCCCGATGATCATCACAAAACACAGCTCGCGGCCGGACGCTTTGATCACCGATACCTGGTTGTACTTGATGAATACGATCATCACGCTTAACGTAACCAGAATGCCGAGGCTGCTGAATACCGACGGTCCAATCGCCCACCAGCTGCCCCACTCGATGCTTTCCGGAATCATTGGAACGCATTCGTTTTTGGCCGAGTTCGGCAGCAGACCTAGCTGGCAAGGAATGCACGAGCTCTCGTTCGGCATGATTGACGACGCGTTACACGGAATGCATGCCCAACAACACGAACCTGACTGCGAACGGACCTCATTGAAGCCGCATGGCTTAGCACAGTCTGAATCAGGTATGATACCGCTTTTGTAGCCTTTCTTGAGAATGTTTAAGTTCAACTGCAATCTGAATATTTTTTTCGAATTAAATGACAAACTTTACTTTTACTGTGTGAAAAAAAAGAATAACGATGTATCAAATAGTGAACACGAAAAATGCCTTTAAAAAGAGTTGCAATTTAAATAGATTTTAGGCTGTTCGCGTAGAGGTTATTATCGATACATTGATGAAGTCATGCATGTTGCTTGCTGGTTTATACAGGCCAGAAATATGTGCTCAAATTTGCAGTCTTTGAAGCACGTAATTTTTCAAAAAATTAGACTGCTGTTATGCAATGTTGTTTGAGTGCTCCCCTAGATGAAACGTGAAAAAGTCATGGTTTCATTTATACGACCATCACATTTAACAGACCCTAGCACTCAAGTCAATGTTTTTTAATTTATACAAACGCATATAGAAACCGGCAACCAGCCAGGCCATTGCTATTGCTAATAAAATGTGAGATATATCTTTGGGTGGCGAGCTTTAACAATCCGTGGATTAATGCTCCACCTAGAAGGCCTCTTCGAGTCTAGGAGCAAGGGAACATATGCAGGAAAATCGGAATATAAATAAACAATGAGCATGA